GAGAACACAATGCCCAATTAGATTTCGAGTACAATATTGACAGAGCAGAGCGTGTAGGATAATTTGGAAGCATAGGATAGCATCGTCCTTACGATTGCCACATCGCGCTGGGCCCCGCCACCCTTTTGACATTTTCACAAAGTCAAAGAAAAAGCAAAAGTGGGGAAATTAAATCCCATGAACCCCAAAAGGCCAAAAAAATAATAAAGAAAGAAAAATCACTATTTCCGTCTCCTTTTGTTTTGCAGGAAGGAATACACATCTTGCTTTTTTCTTTTTTCTTTTTCAGGTATAAATAATTAAGAATTACCAAGTCAGTGCACAACCATTTCCTCTCTCTTCTTACTCCGTCATATAGTTTTATGCTTCTTCTTTTTTTTCTTTTCTCTCTCTAAGATTGTTTCTTTCTTTCACACCTAAAAGAAAGTCAGCGCCGTCCTTTCTGCCTTCTCTGCCTGTATCTGCTTTTGGCCCAATTTGCTTCAGGAAACGCAGAGTCGAGACTGGGTTTTTTAAAGTTTCTAGGTTGATTGGGGTTCTGGAAATGGCTGAGGATTGGGATCTTTATGCAGTGGTGAGGAGCTGTTCGTCTGCTGCCAATACCACCGCCACAGCAAGCAATGATTTCACGAATGAGAATGGTAGTAGTTGGCGTGAGGACCCTTTGGCTTGCTTGGCTTCTTTGAAGTTTGAGGAAGAAGATGACCTGTTTTCATTTCCTAATCTTTCACAGCTTAGGAAAAGTGGTTCTTTGCAAGATTCTTACAAGCCCTTTTTGCCTTACGCCGACCCCACCACCACCAGCACTAATCAAGGTATAGATCCCAGCTCTTCAAGTTCTGTTCCTGGAGGATCTAGTGGCCAACATCATCAGCATCAAAGGTTAAAACAGCAGCAGGAAAAACCCACCACCACCAGCATCGGGATTAGCCCTCCATTGACCCCCACCTCCGCTCCTATTTTTGCTTTTGGCCAATCTGGAAACCAACAACCACCGCAACATGTACAGGAACAACCACAACCGCAGCAGCAAAATCCATTAGACCGACAGCAGCAGCTGCAACAACGGGTTCAACAGCAAGAGGGTCAAAGACCTGCTGCTATCCTTCCTTTACGGAACATGAATTCTCAGGCTCCGAGGTCAAGAAAAAGGTAAACGGCTGGGTCTTGTTAACTTGTGTGTTTAGTTTTTGGTTTAAAAGATTGAAGCTTTGGAGCATTTCCCCGACTAAAAATCCTCCATTTTTCTCGTCTTGCAGGAAGAACCAGCAGAAGAGAACCGTATGCCATGTAACAGCAGATAATTTGTCATCAGATCCGTGGGCATGGCGTAAGTACGGCCAGAAGCCCATCAAAGGCTCCCCTTATCCGAGGTTAACTTCCGTACCCTTCGATGTTTCTTTCATTACTTTTCCTTTTGCCTTTTTTTTTAAAAACCAAAATCCTACTATTTATACCAAACACAGTCTAAAGATGGATATTTTTGGTTTCTTCAGAAACTACTATAGGTGCAGCAGCTCGAAAGGGTGCGCAGCAAGAAAACAAGTGGAGCGAAGCAATTTCGATCCCAACATCTTTATTGTTACCTACACGGGCGACCACACGCACCCTAGGCCTACGCATCGGAACTCTCTCGCTGGCAGTACTCGAAACAAGCCAGCAACCATTCAAAAGGCTGCAAGCAAAGATTCTGCCCAGGAAGCCTTGCCTAGTGCTTCTTGCTCCTCTCCTCGCTCACCCACGAGCCTCTCTCCCATCTCTCCCACAACCCCACTTTCAGCTCCTGAAGACGCCGCCGCTCCCCAACACAACACTGATGATATTAATGGAGGTGAAGAAGAGAGCGTTGACATGACTCTTGAAACGGCTCTGGATAGAGAAAGCAATGAAGATGATGATCTTCTGATTCCCAACGCGCATGTAGATGAAGATCTCTTCAAGGGACTGGAAGAGCTCGTTGGTGGTGCTGACGCTGGGAGTACTAGTAGTGGATTGGGAAGCAGCCCGTCCTTTGGTGATAACTTTCCTCCTTGGGGCACTGGTAACTCCACCGCTGCCGCTGGTGGTGGCTGCTAAACAGATTTTCTTTTTAATTAATGTTATTATTTTTTGTATACTAAACATATAGTAGCATAAAAATTTTTTTGGTTGGGAACAGAGAAGGAATACTCGGAGTTATGTAACTTTCCCCCCTTTTTTTCTTTTTACCTCTCTCCATCAAAAATACAGAGAGAGAGAGAGCCTATTTTCCACCTTCAATTTCGTATATAACATTATAATAATCCTATGCATGCGGTTTAATTTTTAAGGGCAAAAGTTATAAGGTCCGATGTACAGTCATAATTCTCCTACAATGAATCCAGTTCTAGTTTCATCACAATCTGATTCTTTGCAGCTGATCATGAATGATAGGCACAATCTGAAATTCCCATGTCGGTTAAGTTGTAATTGCATGGTCGTAGCCAGCTTTGATCCAGTGCGCATTGGAAAAGAACCTTGTTATTGCCTGCTTTTTGGTTAATTTCGATAAAATAAACCATCTGGGACAGTATGATTATCACTAATCATAATTTACTTTAAAGCTAATTTTTTTAGGAATCCATTCATTTTGTTTGATGGAACAGTAGATGTCTGATGCAATTGAAACTGATGTTTATTAATAGTTTTCATTAAGCATTTGCTTAAAAAGAATTTGCAGCATAAAATAATTATCTACATTTTGTAATAATTCAATGTTTTAAACTGTTTAAACAATAAACTAACACCGAAGAATTACTACAATAATTGAAACAATAGACAATTAGCAGCCTGCCTAACTATAATTAGCAAAAAAAAGAAAGGTCTCTGCTTCCTCTAAATGTGATTTACTCATCCTTTTCTCTGTAGACTTTACTATGATTATTAAATATGCGTTTTAATTGGGAGTTGGGACAGTCAATTGATAAAATGACAGTTGTCGGAACCGCAAAAGGAGGAGGGGCCTGCATTTCAGACCGTGAAACCAAGTCCGGTTTGGATGCCTTTTATCACGAGACAAAGGCAAGATCCTTTTCTTGTCTGTTCACACGGTCGACTTTGCTAGTGGGTTCCTAGGTCAAATATTTTTTTAATTATAGATGCAAGGGTTGGTCAAACATATTTTATTTACTTACAACTATTATAATTATTTAACAAGGAGGAGGAGAATATAGTAGTAGTTTAATTCAATAGGCAAATAAAGTAGTAGTATCAGGGTAACTGTGAAGAGTACTGTAGTTTATAATTATTGAATTCCCAGCATCCTAGAAAAATTCGTGGATCATGGTCATGACTCATGGGTGAGGTAGCTTGAGAATCTAATGATGTTAAAAAAGAGAAGGGGGGTTGAGGGTGCAAGTTTTTAGGGCAATGTTATCTTAATCAAGGTATTTAATGGAAAGAATGTGACCAAGGCAGCCCTAAGGGGTCTTATTCTTTGTGCAATAAAAAGGGAGAGAAATTAATGAAATGAATTTTTTAAAATGTGGGTATATGATGTAAGAAGCTTGATTTTTGTTTTCTTCCTATATCCAATTTTGTTTATCCATAAACAACTCAAGATTTGTTCTTCATTCGTGAGTGATACATAGATCTTGAATTTTATCTGTTTTGATCCTTTTAATTTAAAATTTGACTAGATTTTATTAAATTATTGCTTAGATATTTTAATGAATATTTGTTTGCTGAGTTATCCTCACTAAGGTTTACACAATATATACGTATATATATTGACAATGGGAAATAGCGTAAACAAGTCAAAATATTATCATAAAATTAGTTATATTGTCTGATTCATATATGACATTTCGCACTGTATATAAAGTTTATTACAACCTTGCACCGTTGCAGAGATGTATTATTTTAATTTAAAAATACTCTGTCCTTGAAGATAAAATAATAGCACACTAGATATAGATGAAGAAAACAAGGCATTGCTCTAAACAAATAAATCATTCACTCAACCGACCAGTATGACAGCAGTCATAATTAATGTGCAAAATGTTCATTGAATGATGCATCCATTAACTTACTAATTACTAAGTCTTTGGAGTGTCACTTGTATACATACATACATATATATATATATATAAGATCATTTGGGTCATTAAATTCTAAAGGAGACTTAGAAATTGAAATTCATATTTGTTATCATTACGTTACAATACACTAAATGAGGTTGTAACAATTTTTATTTGCAAATTAGCAATACAAAAGTTTGTTTTTCATTTTTGTCCTTAGTTAAGAAAACTGTTGATGCAAAAAAGGAATATTGTTGCTGAAAGATTGATGACAATTAAGTTTTGACTTTTGATTGTGAACTTTTTTTTTTATATATATATTTATAAACAATAGAAAATAAGGACAGGCTAATGCAGGAACATTTTCGTAAATATTATGCTTGAAAGGGGTTTTTTAACTCAGAAAATTTTAAGATAAAAAAGATGTATAAGATAAAAAAGAAGAAGAAGAAGGAATGACATCATTCATACGTCTGATTTCATCATAGGGTTTCTCAAAAGTGTGCACATTTCCAATGAAAAACTCAATTCAAAAGGCAGTCAAAATATGAATTAGAATTCAACTTTTCGTTACAAAGGAAAAAGCAAGTCAAAATACGTTGTCAAGTCGAGGACAATTCGATTGCAAGATCTACTTGGAAGATGTTTTTGTAGCTTCCTCGTCATTGTTTTCTCATCCCAAAAAGAGGGGGAAAAGATGATCTCTTTGTATCATTTGTAGGGTTGATATTTGGTATTGGAATTCCACCCAAGTCGAAGGAAGGCCCATTTGATTCTTTTCAGTGGCCCCTCGGAATTTATTGGGCCACTCTTTATTTCCCCTTTCACTAATATGGGCTTATTTGTGTTTTCGCCCAAGAGCTTTATTGGCCGGACTTAATACAAAAATTAGAAGCCCGAAAAGAACACGGGTTAGAACGACGTTTTGTTGAACACGGGCTCATTGAACCTTCATCAGGAGAATCCTAATTCCAAACCGTCTGTTTTGTTGGTCCACACGAAAAACAGTCCGCCGAGATTGATTCGTCGTATGCTTTCGCTACACAGGATTCAGCCATCATCTAACTCTACAACACCCTCTTATAGTGCCAGTTCTTCCATCTCCCAACCGAAAGTCGGAAGTGAAAGAGAACACCCGAAAGAAGTGGGGTGATCCGGTGCTCCGCAGAATCTGACAAAAAAATGTTCCTGCGATTGATCTCGCGGCCGTTGCTGGCGAAGGTGAAAGAGACGACCGGGATCGTCGGATTAGACGTCGTCCCCAACGCCAGGGAAGTCCTGATCGGTCTATACGCTAAGACCCTGAAGGAGATCCAGGCCGTTCCCGAGGACGAGGGCTATCGTAAGGCCGTGGAGAGCTTCACACGCCACCGTTTGAAGGTCTGCCAAGAAGAAGAAGACTGGGAAATGATCGAGAAGCGCCTCGGATGCGGCCAGGTCGAGGAGCTAATTGAAGAAGCGCGTGACGAGCTCACTCTTATCGGGAAAATGATCGGTTCGTTCTATGGCATTTCTGTTTTTTCCTTTTATTTAAAAGTTTGTTAGGTAAATGTCATTTTAGGGTTTTAGAATGCTAAAACTTTGAAGTTGTAGACTTTGGAGGTGAAGAAGCTCTAGATTAGGCGATATGCTAGCGATTGGGTCAGTTGTGTTCTTTGGCTTAATGATTGGTTCTGTTTTTCGTTTAGAAAATCTGGGTCTACTAAAGCTGGTTATTTCATTGCTTGTCCAAGGCTGCCTACGGAAATCAGAAATCCTTTTAATAAGAAAACTTGTGCAAGGATTGCTTGACCATAATTTAACAATGGGGATTGGAGTGAATTGATGCTGAAAGTAGTATAGGAATCACCTTGTTTCCAGCTGAGATTATTCAGGTGGGGGGCAACAGGGGTTGGCTGGTTATGGAAGGGGATATAATAACACATACAAGAAAAAAGAGACCAATCTTTTCCATAAGGCTAACATATTTAAATTAGTTAATATTAATCATTTTTATCTAAGCAGTGAATTGCATGTTCATCGATCACCTCAATCTTCAAAACTTGCTTTATTTAAATGTGCATTGGTTCTTCATTGGTGCTACTCTGATGTTATGGCATGTAATTCTTCTGGATGCTTTGCTTGTCCTTATGCTTTAAATTGTGGTGGTTGTTTTGCTTATACCCTGCATAGAGTTAGTTTCTGCAAACTTTTACTATTTCATAATTTGTCAAGGTGTTTGTTTTTAGTCAGACCCATCAGCGAATCCGGTCTACTGTAAGCCATGTCAGCAATATTTTGTTTGAATATTTTGCTGCCAAACATTTTCACTAGTCTGGTGTTAGTTGACACTTTCATGGTTGTTTGATGTGCTTTCAGCTGTTCTCAAGTTTCCACTGTCCAGTAAAGCTTCCCTCTGTTGCCACTTTATGATTAAAAGTAATTGCAAGAAAACTTTTGATATTTTGCATTTTCTTAGTAATGATATGCATTTCATATTATGTCGGGTTGCAGAGTGGGACCCCTGGGGTGTTCCAGATGACTATGAATGTGAGGTGATTGAAAATGATGCTCCAGTTCCCAAGCATGTTCCTCTACACCGACCTGGTCCTCTCCCTGAGGAGTTCTACCAGACATTAGAAGCTGTTTCTAAAGAGGATGCACCTAAAGTCACCTCTGGGGAGCCACAATTAAAGGCGTAGCATGTTGCAGACACTTGGCTGGAGGCATTTAGGGTTTCAGAGTTGAGATTGCATTTTTCTTCTACACCGACCTGGTTCTCTTGTTTATGCTTGTTAATCTTGTTTTGGGCCTGTTTGGTTGATGGATGGAGTTTTAACCTAAGACAAAGGCTGGAACAGTTCAGTTGATAATAATGTTGATGTTCCAGGGGGTCACGAAAATTTTGTCCTCTCAGCTTTGTTTCCTGCATTCTTCTGACTTTTACATGTGTATTTTTTTTCCATCAGAAACTTGATGCTGGTAATGGCATGATTGTGATGATTTCACCATCGGTTTTAGACGTGATTAGATAATTTTGATTGAAACGTGAAAGGAAAAGAAAGTTTTTTGGAAAATCTTTTGCTGATTAATATTTCTTATTTCAAAGTTAAGTTGAATTTATAACCCACAGGGATACTTCTGGCCTCTTGACCATCATCATCTTTGGCAAACAAAAGTCACAAATGATTCGTCTCAACCAAAGGACAGTAACAGAGGTAAGTGGAAAAGCTCTGCACTTAATAACTCAGTCTGAAAGGATTGTGTAAGAGACTATGAATAGAAAAACAGGTTTAGATCATTGCCCCTGAGACCTGGCAGAGAACAGGGTAAAGTGCTTCGTTCTTCAAAACTGACAGCCTCTACATGAGCACTGTCCCTTTCTAAATGAATGTAAGCGATTACCCTCTCGTACAATTATTTCCTTATCAACCAGATCTGTTACAAATGTTATAAAGTCATGGCAATTTCTGCAAATACTATTATTCTTAATTATATGTATCGGAATCTTGGAAGGGGTATTTAGAAGACCAAATGCAACCGCTAACTTCTCACTGTGATAGTACGAGTCTCCAATTCCCATGCCTTGATATAGATATCTGTGATTCTTAATCTCAGCGTCAATCGATTCTATTTTCTCGTAAATTTCATTTATCTGCGGATGTGATCTTTCACCTGCTACAAAGAGATGAACTTTGCTTCTGATCTGCACCCAGCTCTGGCTAGGATTCTTCCTCAACTGTTTTTCTCTCATCAGCTTGCGAGTCTTCTCACCAAAGTCATGTCTACCGGAGTCATCGTACAAGTTCGCTAGCAGTATATAGAATGCTGGATCGGATGGGTCAAGTTCAAGGCCTCGTCTTGCCATATCTTCTGCCAGAGGTATATTTCTATGTGCTTTGCAGGCTCGCAGTAGTGTCTTGCATATGGAAGCATCTGCTCTGAAGGGCATAGTTTGTATCACTTCCATAGCCTCCTCTAGGCGGCCACCTCGACCCAGTATATCAACTAAGTAAACATAGTGGTCCAGCTGTGGCACTATATCATATACTTCTCTCATGGATTGAAAATACTCAAGACCAAGGTCAACTAATTTACCATTATTGCAAGCTGAGAGCAATAACAAGAACGTAACAGAATCAGGTCTAACTCCAGCTAACCTCATATCATCAAAAGCAGAGAGAGCAGAGGAAATAGACCCAATTGATGCCAATCCAGAAATCAACCCATTCCATGAAAATATATCTGGCACTGTTATCTCCCCAAAAGCTCTTTGTGCGTCACATATGCATCCACATTTGCCATACAAATCAACTAGGCCATTTGCAACTGAAACCCACCTGCCCAAACCAGATTTCACAGAATGAGAGTGAAGTTGCTTTCCAGTCACCAATGTGCCCAAGTCTGCAGATGCAGATAGGAAGCTGGCCATGCTAAATGCATCAATCTTGATATCATCATTATACATATCAGTGATAATGTGCAATGCCAACTCATGGTGACCCAATTGATTTACCCTTGAGGCTAAACTAGTGTATGTGATTGCATCTCTGTGACTCATCATATGAACTACTTGCCATGCATAGTCTAGCATCCCCAATCCAGCATAAACATCTATAAGAGCATTCTGAACAACAATGTCTTTATACAAATTTGTTTTAATAACATGTCCATGTAGCATTAACGTCTGAGGAAGCAATTTTGCTGCATTGAAGGACCCAATAATGCTAGAGATGGTAAAAGAATTTGGTTGCACTCCTGATACTCGCATCTCCACGAAAAAGTGCAAAGCATCTTGTTGAAAACCATGTTCACCAAAACCTGCAATCAAAGAGGTCCAAGAAATGACATTTGGTAAGCTGATTCCTCTAAATACTCTCAAGGCATCTTTTATTTTATCCGAGCATTTCACATACATGGTGACAAGTGCATTTCCAACATTAACATCATCCTCCAACCCAGCCACTACCACCCTTGAGTGAATCTGTTCCCCTAATTCTAGAGACAACATTAATGAGGAAACACTCAATAAGCTTGAAAACGTAAAATTATTAGGTAAAATTCCAGAGATTCTCATCTCACGAAATGCAGCTATAGCCTTTCGAAACATGAAGTTTTGAGCAAACCCAGAAATAACAGCTGTGCATAACAAAGTATCATATTCAGATGTCAAATTTGAGACCTTTATAGCATCTTCCATCCTTTGAAATCTTGCGTACATATCAACTAAGGCCGTTTTCAACACCACATTCAACTTCAGTCCCCGCAACAACATATGGGCATGAACCAACTTTCCATATTTTAAACCAAGAACACTACATGCTCCCAAAAGTTTCACAAAAGTAAATTCATTTGGAGGAACCCCAGCTTCAATCATATCAACATAAAGTTGCAAAGCCTTACTCCATCTCTGAGCTTGAACAAATGAAGAGATCATCATTGTCCAAGAAACCGTATCATGATTTCCCACATAAATAAACAACTTATAAGCTTCACCAATAAAATTAAACTTGGAGTAAAAATCAAGTAAACCGCTGACCAAAATTGGGTTCTGATCAAACCCTTGCTTTATCATATAAGCTTGAATACAAGTTCCATACTCAAATTCTCCTAAAGCAGAACATGACCGTAGCACACTTGACAGCGTAAACTCATTCGGGCGTTGCCCAGAAATTAGCATAGAATCAAAAAATTCAAGAGCACAATCATGGTTTCCCCTCTGGACATAAGCTGATAGAATTCCAGTCCAAGACACGACATCTTTATACGGCATTTCATCGAAAAAGTGGCGTGCTTTGTCCACTCCGAAACATTTGGCGTAAAGGGACAACAGGTTGTTGTTCAAATAGAGACGGTCTTGAAGACCCAGTTTTATTATAGGACAGTGAACGGATATACCTTCTTTTAAAGAGTTGGAATTGCAAAATGGCAGTACCCTTGAACAGGTTTCTTCTAAACGGGTTCCTTCGTTTCCCTTGATGATCCTGCTCCCTGTCTTGCAAAGCATTTCTTTTTGCCTACTAGTTTTTGCTGCACCCCAAGAGACGACTGTAAACAATTATTAGAGATTTATGTCAAGGTAAAATGTCAGGAAAGGTTAGATTTTGATGGAGTTTTTTTAATAAAAAATATTAGGAAACTCACAAGCATTATATATATAAATAAATAACTTTTACAATCCATAAAATTTAATTATGTAATTGCATACATCTTGTTACAAAAATAGATTACTAATTTTTAGATAACAGTCAATCTTCTTTTGTCATTTGATAATGGTATTCTCTTTCCAAGTCTAGGACACATAAATCCCAATACATGTTTTACTCATTCATTGAGCAATATAAATAGTAAAATTATATATATATATATATAATTGTTCTTTTTGGGTACTAAAAAAATAACCTACCTTATGGTTTGAGGGGATCAAATATGTTCGTCGAGACTTCAATAAACTTATTTATATTTTCAAATATACATCTCCCAATTTTATAAAATACAAAATTTATTAAATAAATCTAGATTACCACTTCACACTTGTATAACATACTCGTGTACTGTAAGACACCTAGTCGCCTTAAATCTTGGAAACTTGTTCTTATGTTCTCCTGGATGCCTACCGATCGCAATACACAACTCACCATTGAAACAGTTTTATTACATACTTACTTTGATAACTTATTGAAACAGGCAGAATTAAATAAGTGTAAAAAAAGTTTTTAAAAAAGAAATACAATAAACTAAGATCTCCCCGATAAATGACAAAACAAAGCAAATAATTAATTTAAAATCTTTCATAAAAAAAATTGCAGAATCTTTAATACTACCTGCTTGACAATTTATAAGTTGATGATACATTTAGACTCTCAGGTCGAATCTTTATAATAAGATATAGTTTATAATATCATTCAAGAGCAGAAAAAAACAAAAAATAAAGTAAAAAAGAAGAATTTAACCACAACACGTTATTACAAATGTCCTAAGCATACATACGAATATAATTAGCAACCAAATAACCTCAAATATTTATTTATTTAGTTTACGTTTTTTTTTTGGTAATTTAACTATAAAAAGATGATCTGCATATTCAGCCAGGACTAAGGTCAATACAAGGGTAATTTAATTTAATTTTATGCTCTAACTTTTTAATTTAAAATGAAATTTACTATAATTTTAATTAAAAGATAACTTGATAACTTATATTTCCCAATTAATAACAAAAATAAGATCAGTGGACTATATTAATAAAATTAATCCAACGGTGACTATTTTATGATCTTACAATAAGATCAACAACTTATTATACTTAGAAAATGATAATAGAAGTAAACTAAGTTGTGCGCATGTTTAGTCCAAAAAACCACTTAGATGTTATTTATGCACTTTTTTAGGTTTTTTATTCAATTCGACTATTTTAAAATACATACATATATCATTTAACTAAGTACTGTGAGTGTTATATACATACAATCATCAAATAATTTTTTTTCTTGTAGTGCACATGCCACTTTGAAGAATAATCATTCAAATTGTATCAAGGATTAATTTAAAGCAATTATTGATGAGTAAAGAGCTAAAATTTTAATATTTTAAATATGCTACTTGGTGTTATATATGTGTCCATGGACTTTTAATTAAATTAAAAAAATATATGTGATGTGTGTGTATATAAATAATATCAATATAACCTGTAAAGATCCCAAATCACAAAAAAAAAAAAAACCTTTTGCGTGCATTAAATTTTAAAAGATCAGTTGGAGACAAGGGCAATGTATATTCCTCTGTTGCAAAAGCTTGAGCATCAATAATTAGGGAACTATGAAAGTAGGAAGTAATTCTTTGGAATTGAATCTTTTGCTTAAGCGGGCAAGGACCTTTCTTCGTATGGGATACCGTATCAGACATTGTTTCAAAAAGCAACGTTGTTTCCTTGCTTAAAAGTGCAACCTTCTTCGAATGCTCTAATCATGTGCCTTGTACCTTTCTTTACATTTTCAGATAAAACCAAAAAAAAAAAGAAATTCATATTTTAGATAAGCATTACGTCAATTCTCTAATCAAATTATTTTTATTTGTCAGCCGGTTCAACGCCTACATGAAACTTCCTTGGAACCAGAAGTAGAATTAAAGCGAATCGACCTTTGATTGCGGAAACTTCTTCGGTGTTATGAGTTATGACCATTTTAATATAATGGAGATTTCCTCCTCATGGTGTCCATTGTCATGCTCATGGAAACTGCCTTGATCACATTGAAACTATCAAGGAAATCTTCGTGGTGAATAGGGCAAAGCGATGAAACCGTAATAAGGTTTTTGAAATGTAAACTCTAAATTATGGCTATAATATAATTATCATAATATATGGAAATATATTCCGATAATTATTTCAATAGTTTCCAGGCTATTATTGGATCCAAGGTACAGTGTTGTTCAAAAGTGAAGGGCAGTTCAAAAACCTCTTTCTTTTTATTGCTTAGCGAACTTTACCGTACTTGGAAGCATGGAATATGTAGCATATGATTATATAACCGGATTGGGATTGAGCCAGTGGTACTATCCCTTTTTTTTAATAAATATTTTAATAATAAAAATGTATTAAATAATAGAAAAATGATTTAATGGTTAGAATTTTGATTAACAATCAAGAGTATAAGAGATTGAATGTTGTCATTTATAAAAAAAATTGATTTAATTAATTAAAAATTTAATTAAATTGATTAACGACTCAACAAGAAAGTAGATCGGTTGAATTTTTTGAGAATTTGGTTTCGAATCAAACTGAACATGTTATCAATTTTCAGTTCAATTTATTCAATCTGTTTCTCTAACATTAATATATGTTAAAGAGATTTATATTTTTTTTTCAAATGTAAAATAGTCAAATTACTAGATAATTACTTGAATTTGACTTGATGAACTTATTATTGTAGAGTCGAGTTTAAGTTTGAGTTACTTGATTCATGATTCAAGCTGAATTTAAGTTTTATAATACTCTACATGAATAATCAATGAATTTTGCTTAGTTTTTGAATTTTTAATAATATTCAAGCTTAAGTGGAGTTTGGAACTTCTTTATTAAAGAGATAATAATCATACTAATCGATTTTAACCTAATGCCCAAGCACAAAAAAAGAAAAAAAAAATCTCAAGCCTAATTTTGCATCAGGAATTCATTTATTATAAATCTCACATTAATAAAAAAATTAAATAAATATTAAATTTATAAATTAAAATCTTCGTTTACATATTATATATATCTTTTGAATTAAAAATATATTTTCATGACAAATAATATCATATCAAAGATAAAATAGACCTTTACCTTAGTGAGAGATCAATAGAACCCCATGACTAATCTTTTCTCAAGAAATATTGAAGTTGAGATAGTGTAAAGTCTCAATGAGATTTTATGAGAAATATCTGAACTAGTGTCAAGGGTATTTTGCTTTAAACATAAAATGACCCATGGGTAAAAAAATATAAAAGCTTTTTTCACTTATTGGATATATTTTTAAAATTAAAAATGTAGATCGATGATATCATTTACTTGCATGCCATTAATAATTAGTTAATCAGGAAATAATTACTAATGAATCACAAATTACTATCATTATTAATAAATCATAAATTCCTAGATTAGCAGCAAAGCAAGATATCACGCCATGGAGGAGTTGGGTTCTCAAAAAGGAAAATAAAGCACAAACATTGTGGCTAAATTTGTCATTTTAAAAAATAAACGTATTCTTGACCGTAGCCTAATGAAGTCTTCCCCGACTCCTCATGCCCTCTTTTTATTTAACCCCTATGGTTTTAGTTTCGCTCAAGAGTCCATTGTATTCTCCTACAGTCCAGAAAATCGCAATCCCCCTACCTCTTTTCTACTGTTCTAGAGACTTCTCTTTGCTATTTCTTTCCTGTTTCTCTTCTCTTGCTTTCCCCAGCAATGGCGTCTGATCTGGAGACCAAAGCCAAAGAAGCCTTCTTCGATGACCACTTCCAACTTGCGCTCGATCTCTACTCGCAAGCCATCGAACTTAACCCTAAGAGCGCCGAACTCTACGCTGACCGCGCTCAAGCCAACATTAAAATCAACAATCTCACTGGTAATTCCCCTATTTTCCCACCCCATCTTACTTTATACTATAACCTTTCCCTTTTTTTTTTAGAATAATTGTGAACTTCGTTGTTTTTGTAATTTTGTTGGCGCAGAGGCTGTGGCGGACGCCAACAAAGCAATTGAGTTGGACCCTTCCATGTCTAAAGCTTACTTGCGTAAAGCGTGAGTAGATTTTCCCATGTCCTTTTTTTTCTAATCTGATAATTTGTGCTGGTCTAATGCCTTAATCAATTTTAATTATGGACACTACTGCTTTCAACTATTCTCCTCTTCATTCCCTTGCTTGATCTGCTACCTTCTACTTAGTTTGCATCACACAATTAATGTAGTTTACTGAAGGAATTCCTGGATTACTCTGATGAATATTATTAACGGGAAATTTTAATAATTGATAAAATAGCTAAACACATATTCTCCCTTTTTGGAAGGATTGTTTATTGCTTCTGATGCAGAAGCCTTTATAGTAATCTGTTAATGAATTTCTGCAGTACTGCGTGCATGAAACTTGAGGAGTATCAAACTGCTAAGGCTGCATTGGAGACTGGCGCTGCTTTGGCACCGGGAGAGTCAAGATTTTCCCAGTTGATCAAAGAATGTCAAGAACGCATCGCAGGTACATAGCCATAAAGAAAGGCTTTTAAGGCCGGATGGGTTTATGTACAACAATTATTATATATTATCAAAATATTTTATATCATCTTAATAACTTCCCTTATCTTACTAATGAGTTGTGTGTTTTTTAAGAGGAAACTGGTGATTTACCAAAGCAGACTCTGGAAGGGGTGACAACAAATGTTGTACCTACAACAAAAGTTGAACCAGAGAAGAACCTGCCCAATCTGGTGACTGTGGCAGCACCATCCAAACCAACTTACAGGTTTCTGTCAATGCACTCTCTTTGTAATGTCATCGTTAAATATTGATGCTGATGTGTAGTTAATATGGTTAAAAATATTTGTGCAGGCATGAATTTTACCAAAAACCAGAGGAAGTGGTTGTGACAATATTTGCTAAGGGAATACCACGTGAATGTGTTTCTGTACAATATGGTGAACAAATAGTAAGTTGCACATCAATTCAGCTGCATTCATTTTTCTTTTTTTTTTTTTTTTTTTGTGTCTCTGTCCTTGTGGATTCTATGAGAACTGTTTAGTTTGTTACTAATAAATGGGCTGAAGAATTGCTATCTTTCTTCGTTGCTATGCAGCTAAGTGTTGCCATTGATGCTCCTGGTAAAGATGCAATTCATTTTCAACCTCGCTTATTTGGAAAGGTATTACCTGAAATTCATGTTGTCAAGATTGGTGTGTAAAAATAGTATGATACATAAGTTTGACCTTTTGTCTTTTTGGGCAGAGGTCCAAGCATAAAACTCTGTAGTGGAAATATTATCCTGAAGGGTGGATTGCTTTTGGTTCTGTAGTGACAAATAGGTTTTCTGTTGTATCTTTTGCTTAGATGCTAATTTTGTCTTCATGGTGTTTGGCTATGATTGAACAGATAATACCTGACAAGTGCAGATATGATGTTTTGTCAACCAAAATTGAGATTCGGCTGGCAAAAGCTGAACCAATTCAGTGGACATCTCTTGAATTCAGCGAGGAAGTTGCTGTTCCACAAAGGGTTAATGTATCTTCTGGTAAGTTGATCTCTGTAGCCTGTCGTTTCTAATACTAGTGGAAAGCCATGAGAAAACCAAGTGTCAAAGCTTACTTGTGCATGCCATACTGACTTGTTTATTATCTTCATGCACCTATTTTATGTGTGTGGGATGCTGTATGTAAGCTTATGCAGTTTTGTACCTAGACATAATAGTAGTTTAAAATTTAAATGTTCACTGGCTAAAGAACACTTTATGCAGGTAAATCCCTCTTGGGAACTGAATATTAGTTGCTAGGCTAATGCGGAATAAATGGGTTTCACAAAATTTTATGAGATCCACTTGAAGTCTGTTGTTTGGAAACCAACAAAGTGTTTTTAAACTTGATAATTTATTTTTAAATAAAGTTTACTGTAACGTTTACAAATTATATAAATGCATTTCCATTTTGTCTCATTTGAACCAGTACCTATTTACTATTAGGCAATATGGTGGTTTTGAAGTGTAAATCAGAACACATTGATAGTTGCAGTGGTCATTTTTTGCTAGTACTTTTCTGTTAAGGTTTGGTTTTTCATTATTTATGCTTTTGCAATTGATATCTTTTCTAGTTTCATTTGATTGATTGGACTTGATCTTTGAATTCTTATGCTAATTAGTGTTCTAATAGTTGTGCTGCATGAAGGTTGAATGTTTAATCTATTGAATTATTTGGCAAGTATTGGATCCTTTTATCTACTCTTGGTCATAAACTAATTCTTGTGTTTGTAGTTACTGGAAATCAAAAACCAGTGTACCCATCCTCCAAACCAAAAAGGGTTGATTGGGATAAACTTGAAGCTCAAGTAAAGAAGGAGGTGCATCGGACATCAGGCTTATTTTTTATTTGTTTCCCTGGTGATATTTGGACAACTTACGCAGCAGAAGTTGTGGGATACAATAATCATTAACACATGATGTTTTTGGTGGCTGGTTTTCAGGAGAAAGATGAAAAGCTGGATGGTGATGCTGCTTTGAATAAATTTTTCCGAGAGATTTATCAGGATGCTGATGAGGACACAAGAAGGGCCATGCAAAAATCTTTTGTAAGACATTTTAATCAATGTGATGTTTAATTTATCCCTTCAATAAGCATAATCTGGTTATCGGATAATATAATTGATATAGAATATAGTGGCTTTAATAGTTCATATGCTGTGTGCATTTAATTTTCTGGCGTTGCATTGTAGGTGGAGTCAAACGGGACAGTGCTTTCCACAAACTGGAAAGAAGTTGGTGCAAAGAAAGTGGAAGGAAGTCCTCCTGATGGTATGGAAATGAAGAAGTGGGAATACTGAGCTCTATGTTCCCAATGGCGAGTTTGTAACTTAAGACTGCGGTTTTGGTCTGTGAATGTTGTGTTCGTTTCTCCAATCTAATTTTATTAGATGTTTCGCTGTGCTTGAATGTCTAGTGCTGGTGGATGGATCTCTTGACTTTGTACCTTTTGTTTTTTAGGCCTTGTTTTCGGGTCTGTGTAGTTATTTTTGTTTTCAAGTATGCAATGAAGAATGTGACGGTTCAATTTTTTTCTTTTTACACCTCTCTGTGTACTGGATGAAGCTGTGATGAATTGTTGGATGCTGGTGCACTAGATCCAAGCTTTGGTTGTGTACTGTTATTCAATAGCAGTAATTACTAGTCAAAAAAATCTATAATGTGTCACTATCTCCAAAAGATTTGTGATTGTGTTTGGGTCTTTTGCCCAAGAAAGTAGTGTATCCTTGGCTGTGCCCATCTCGTGCCTCAGTATTCTTTTGAACACCCTTTCACCATAATTACAAGATCTATTCTTGGGCTAATTAGTTTACCCGACCCATTAACCCAAAATAGGAAATAAGGTAGTACAAAAAAAGTCTGAAGTGGGCCGTGGGCAGTCTAACCAACGGTTAATGTTGTACACTTTGCTAGATTTATAAGACGGCCGGGAACCGAAAGACCCAAGTCCACACACTAAACGACGTCGCTTTTCCACGGATCCATACATCGATATCGAATTTTACATTTTCTTTTGTTTGTTCTTTTTTATCCTAAAATCAAGTTCCAATTGTTGATTCGTAGAATTGCTTGGCAACACTCAAGGTCAGGTCGCTAACCATACAAATTCAATTTCCGGCGAACACAGCAAGAAAGGTCTGAAAGAAATTATAATTGGAGCAGTGTGTTAATTGACAAGGAGGAGAGAGAGAGAGAGAGAGAAAGAATGCAGTTCTTTGGCGGATCGGAAATCAGTCCATCACCGCCGGTACCAACGGCGACGGGGAACAACGCTCACATGATGTACGTATTTAACCGAAACGGAGTGTGCTTGCTTTACAGGGAGTGGAATCGGCCTCTCCACACTCTCAACCCTCAACAAGATCACAAGCTCATGTTCGGTCTCCTCTTCTCCCTCAAATCCCTTACTGCCAAAATGGATCCCACCAGGTCTCTCTTCCTTTTGCTCTCTTCAACTTCATTCCCCTCCAGCAGCATCTTCTGTCATGATTTTTTTTTTCTTTTTTTTTTCAGTTAAGAATTTTTGAATTGTTGATGATGCGCAGTGCTGATAAGGGAAATTTAGGGGTCCCTCAGTTGCCAGGTCAAGGTTGTTCCTTTCATAGCTTCCGCACTAATACCTACAAACTTAGTTTCATGGAAACTCCTTCTGGGATTAAGGTCTGCTTTTTTTTTCCTGTTGTTATCAACTCTGTTGTAGTGGTTTAATTAGATGTTGGATGCTGATGAATCCATGACCAATTTTCATTTTAATTTAACAAGATAGTATCACATGTTTTTAAGAAGGCTAGAAGCAACTCAATCTGCAATTTGCCTCCAAATAGCACTCAGGATTTTGGAGTGTTCTTAGGTTCACTTTGATGCGCTTGACAACATTAAATGGTTTCTGCTTTTTGTTTTTTCATCTTCCATATTAGCACGGTACATGTATATCTCCTGGTCGTTCAAGCTACTGTCATGCCACTAAGCTGAATTTTGCTGTTCCCATTTTGAATAAACAAACACTACTTCACTAGGATTACTTGGTGTAGTGAAATTTTACAACTCTAACCTCCAGAATTTGGAAAGGAGCTTTAAGTCATAAAATTGGTGAAGTTCAAACTGTGGTTTCAAGTGATAGTGGAGGACTTAGAATTCTTCAAAGTGATTAGCTATCTATCAGGCGGTCGTTTGTCAAGTTAAGCAGCCTGGAATATAGCGTCTGAACTCATGGCAGATCTTATGGACATAATTTGCATCATGTTGGGGAAAATCCTGAACTTACTTGCCTTTATATTGTTGAGTTCTTGCCTAATAGGCTTTTTCATGTAAATATTATATGATTCTCCCTATTGGACTAGCAGTTAAATGTTTTACTCCAAAATCTACCAAGAATTAAAAGTTATATGTGGAAGGCTCTAATAGAGGTCCATTGGCTGTCACTGGATGCCTCATATTGATGAGAAGTCTAGTGTGCTTATTTGTTAAAGTTTCTAATTCAATGAGCACTATGCAAAACCTTCTTTAAGGGTAGCAACTCAGACAATTAAAATAATTCCATGGTAGCAATCAAGACCCTGCTTGACATTGATCAATGCTCGATACTGACATTTTTTTGCATGCTTTTGACAACATTATTTTCCAGCCTTTGATGTTTTGGAAATTTGTATACATTTCTCAATGAAATCGTTACTCTGCCACTCTTTTTGTCCTTTGTGCAGATTATTTTGGTCACTCATCCTAGGACTGGTGATCTTCGTGAACCACTCAAGTATATTTATAACTTGTATGTTGAGTATGTTGCCAAGAACCCACTCTATACCCCTGGAACTTCAATCAGGTAAATAGTCCTTTTCTTCCCAAGCTAATACTTACATGCTTATCCTTTGAGGATTGTTCTGTTATGACAACCACTGGTCATCTCTGTTGGTTAATGCTGCATTTATTTACATTTTTGTCTCTGCAAACTGAAATTTCTCACTATTTTAATTTCGTTGAATAAAAAGTAATGCATTTGACAGTAGTATATTCAAAGTCAATGTTTATCTACACAACCTTTGAATGGAGCCATTTTGTGGCTTCCTATTTTGTTCTTTTAGCTCTTATGATGGGTGTCCTCCTCAAGTTGTTTCTACAGTTTCAGTTTTATGATACTGTTAAATGATTGTTACTACCTAGTGAAACCACCTGCCAGCAATAGGTAAAAGTACATGTCCATGGTCCCTGAACTTGATGAGTAGCTCTTTGTTCAGGTTAATTTAGTTTCATTTCTCCCCAATCAATTAATGTTGTAAATTGGTTATGCTATGAATGAATTGTTTAATAAAGGCAGATGCTCAGTCCAACTGGTGTCTTTATGGAAGTCTTTAAATAGAATGAGTGGAATTTTGCTCAAGTATAGAAAGGAAGGGAAGTATATGTGTGTAGTCTAAACTGTGGGCTAGGCATCATTCTTGGATATATTTACTCTGTTTAATGAACATGCCATTCTTGGATATGTACTCTCTCTTTAATTAGGCCAAGAAAGTCATTCTGTTAGCTCTATAGAGATGCATTAACCATGAAGTTTAAATACTGCTTTCCCAGTCAAAGTTCTTTGGCATGATCAGTACTCATCTTTAATTTTTTGCTAAAACGGTTACTATTTTCTTTGTATTTATGCACTTGGTTTTTTTTCTTCTTGCAGGTGTGAATTATTTAATACAGCTCTTGACCAATACGTGAGGAGCATTGCATAGTATCAAAAAGTAATGCGAGCTCTCTATCTCTGAGGTATTTACTTTTCAATGTGCATGTGAAGAGCCAATTCAGTTATCTTTTACAGTTAAGTTTGGGTTACTTTCAGGCAGTTTACACACTCAACTTGGCTCCTAGTACACCAGAAAATTGTGATTCAGAAGCAGGTCTGTTGGATAACCTGTTTTTTGGATATAGTGTGTGACAATTTTTTAGAATGTTTGTGAGAAGATTGATATTATCACTGGTGAACGTTGAGGGTGTGATTTAGAGGAGGTTTTATCCATTTATTATGTGACATTAAGTGTATTGACTACCTTTGTCATACCGTGTCCAGAATGTGGGTAAAATGAAAGAAGCAAAGGTGCATAAGTGATTGAAAAGAACTCTTTGCCCTGTAAATTAAAAAGATGCTGTTCGTTTCACATTTTTTCACTTCTTAGATCTGAGGAGAAAAGAAAAGCTTTCAAGATGGCTCATTACTTGTCCTTTGATCCTTTCTTTTTCTCCAATATTGCCTTTGTCGGCTATGGAAGAAGCCATAGTTCTGTACCCATCACCAGTGCTTGCACACCACATGGCTACGGCAGAGTTAGGTAAGCTCCTCACTTGTCAACCTTCACCACTTACCCCACCCTCATCGGGCCGCCAACCCTCGTTCCATAACCTTCCACAAGCTCCCTTACCGTCACTCTCCCTCGTTCATCTACCAAACAAGGCTTCGTACTCCCATATTTTTAGGACTCTCCTTGCTTCTTGACTTTACTTGCCCACTCTCCACAAGAACTTCACCGAAAACTTGAAAGATGTCAACCTCGTTGTTGGTATCCCGGGCGTGCCGTCAGTTCCATCCCCAGATATGCCAACGCTAGTAGTCGGCAAAATTTACATAAAACAACCTTCAAATTCTATGCAGCACTGTAACTCTACAGCTGAACTTGAACCATCAGTGAACAAACTCAGGCACGCGTGTTCAATTAATTTAAACGAAACGAGCACGTGACGTTCGCGCGTTGCTATGGTATATAACAGAGGTAATTCAATACTTTTTTGTTGGTCTGTTAAGATAAAAAAAAAGTTCAAAAACATTGATCAAATTAAATGCAAATAATATTTTGTTGGCTTTCAAGAAAAAGTGATTGGATAAGAAGGGTTTTTAATAAATTTAAAATTTAACTAATAAATGCATTAATTTAATGCAATCATTTAATACTAATATTTGCATTCATATAAATAATCAGATACACAACTTTAACTATTAACTAATCAAATACATTTCATCAAGTGTCAGTCTAACATAATTCATTAGCTAATTCATAGTATACTGTATCTTTGTTTTTCTAGTTTGTTTTTTAATTCTTTTGGATGCATTCGTTGTTATGGGAACGTCATGCGCACATGATGTAGCGTTTTGCTCTCTACTACAACTGTCCATCTGCTGATTACTCTGACATCATCTGCTGGGACCACATATTCAACTTGCTAAGTATTCTTTGTTCAAATTCAAAAACTCTCATAGTTTTATCCATGAATTAAAAACATCTCATGAATATAAATTTTAATTTCTACATATATAACACAGCAAATCCTAAAAATTCCTAACGTACAAGTAAGGCCGTTACACCTCTCCTTCCTGTTATGATTAATCTGCATTGCATGTGCATGTCAATGATATATATATATACACATATATCTCAGTAGTGATGAGTGAGTCTGTCTGAAGGGCAAAGAAAACAAAAGAAAGCCACGTTTACGTAATCCTAGATTATAAATGATTACCACTTTTCGTAATTTTAAACGACGTAATCCTTTTCCATGGAAAGCTCATGCGTAAGTTTATGGCACATTCTTCAAAGAATCTCTCGTTGTGTACAAGCCAAGCCATATCAATTATTCTAATTGGTTTTCTACCTTTTAAAATGAAAGCAGCGTCCAACCAAACTTAATGGTAAAGACCTTGTGGAAATGTTAATATTAATTGATTTAAGATTACCAATAATCGGGACTTTTTTCATTGCTTACTCACCTCGGTTCATTGCCTGCTTAAACCAAATAATAAGACTGGACTATAAAAATAGCAAAAGGATCAGTAGGTGGTGTTGTCCCCTTTGTTGTGGTCGATGGAATTTCTTTTTGTCAGGAGTACCGAATACCACGTGATGGTGAGATTAGGTGAAAATTAGAAGGAAAACCAAACCTATGAACAATTATCTTTCTTTCTTGATTTGGGTGTCAAGTAAGTATTGGATCTCTCCATTAGTTTTCTAGTATCAATGTATCATCTAACTAGTTAGCCTATTTTACAAGACATAAAATAAAAGAGTGATCAGCAGGACCCGGGTAATCATCTCGGGGCAGGGGTAGGTGGGTTTACTTAAAGGTCGCCGCAACCCGTTCTATTAAAAAACTAGTCCCAACTGTCTCGTCCGAGCTCGATTTCCAAAACAAAAGAGGTCCTTATCTCTCTGGATGGTTCTATTATTTTTTTTACAGTTATTTAAAATCTTTTATTGTAATTCTTTTGTCATTTAATAATAATATTAAAAGTATAACTTCTAGTAATATATGTAATTTTATAATTATTATTTTATTTAAAATATAATAAAAATGAATGTAATACAATTAAATTTATAAAAATATACAAAAAGCGTTGCTAAAAATTAACATTTGTAACAACATTAACTCATATTTGTTGCCTTGTGGATGATAATTGTAATTTTGTAAAATTTGGAAATTAGAAATGATAGGAAAGGTATGTATTTGGAACAGGGCAAAAGAGGTATTCACGTTTATATCATGTTTTTTTGTTAAATGTTTGTATGTAGTAAATAAATTTAAATTTTAAAAATATGTTTGGTTTGTAGGGAGGAATATAGTGAAAATAAAATAATCATTTCATAAGAATAAAATAAAAGATAAATAACTATTATGTAATTTGATTAATGAGGGTGGAATAAGATAGGAATTGTTATTATCAATTATTTTAATATTTAGTTGGTAATAATGGTTTTAAGAATAATTGAAGAATAAATGACAAATGACAAAAAAAGTTATTTATAATAATATTTAATTTTAAATTAAAATATTTATAAGTAAAATATTTATTTTATTATTTTATTCTTTATTGTAAAAATGTTAAAATAAAAAATTATAATTTAATTTTTAAGTTTAAAATATTAACTTTTTATAGTATATAATTAAAATGTAAACCTTTTTATTTTAAATTTATTTTAAGTTTTCCTTTTAATTTTTTAAATTTTAAACTCATTTTAATTTAGTGAGAAAAGGAGAGAGGTGGTTGGGTAGAGAGACAAAGAAATTATAAAAAATGAATGAAATGCATTTTATATGATATGATAATTCTTCAAATTAATCAAAAATATTTTTGTCCATTAATGTTTTTACTCTTGAAATAGCTACTAGCAAGGGATTCTCCCGCCATAAAGAAGCGGCTACCCCACATTAGAAAGACTGCATGAACAAATAGAAGTGAAGTTTATTTCGTTTGCAGGGAATTGGATGAGTACAAGATTAAAACTTCCTAATCTCACTAGTATTGGTGATTTCTTTGTTGGGCAATTCTCTATGTAGTATTTCCTATGACCTTATATAAGACTACACCCAAGGACAGAGGCCATGCTTTGGACCGCAAATAGCTCAACAGTGCTTTTGCTTTGGTTCCCACTTTCCAGTGTTTTTTCAACTCAATGTCAGCGATGGAGGAAGCCGTAGTTCTCTACCCAACACCAATAATTGGCCACCTGAGAGCCACGGTGGAGTTAGGCAAGGCCCTACCCAGCCATCAGCCTTCACTCTCTGTCCACATCCTCATCGCCACCCCTCCTTTCCAAGACGATGCCACCGCTGCATATATCGCCGCCGTCTCCTCCACCTTGCCTTCCATCACTTTTCACAAGCTACCTAAAGTCACCCTCCCTCCATCTTCCAACGTCGCCAACCACGAGGACCTTACTTTTGAGATCCTCCGCCTGAACAACCCGAACGTTCTTCAAGCTCTGGTTTCCATCTCCAAGAAATACAAAGTTCAGGCCTTAATCATGGATTTTTTCATCAGCACCGCTTTCAAAGTGGCGACTGATCTCAAAATCCGCCCTTACTACTTCTACACCAGTTGCGCTGGTTCTCTTGCTTCTCTCCTTTATCTACCAACACTTCACAGGAACACCACCAAGAGCTTCAAAGATCTGGACGTTCTTCTTGATATACCGGGCGTGCCACCAATTCCAGCTCAAGATATGGCAAAACCAGTACTCGACCTCACCGAAAAGGCCTATGAATTCTTGTTTGATGCCTCCAACATCCTGCCCAAGTCAGCTGGGATTATAAATAACACTTTTGAGGCCCTGGAGCCAAGAGTTATCAAAGCAATTTGCGATGGGCTGTGTGTGCCGGATGGTCCAACAGCTCCCTTACACTGCATCGGACCGTTGATTTCTTCGGTTGATGAGTGGAGAAGTGGAGGTAACCCTGGTGATAGTGTTACCGAGTGCTTAAAGTGGCTAGACTGGCAACCCAGTAAAAGTGTAGTGTATTTGTGTTTTGGTAGCTTGGGATTGTTTCCAAAGGAACAGTTGAGGGAAATAGCTGTGGGGTTAGAGCGAAGTGGGCAAAGGTTCTTGTGGGTGGTGAGGAACCCTCCTTCAGGGAGCCTAGGCGTGGCTATTAAGGAACAAGCCGAGCCAGATTTGAACGCCTTGCTTCCTGAAGGGTTCTGGAGAGGACGAGGAGAGGGGACTCGTGCTCAAATCATGGGCGCCGCAGGTGCGCTTGAATCATGATTCGGTGGGTGGTTCGTGACTCACTGCGGTTGGAACTCAGTAGGAATCCGTGACAGCCGGCGTTCCAATGGTGGCGTGGCCCCTCTATGCAGAGCAAAGGTACAATCGAGTGTTGCTAGTGGAGGACTTCAAGATCGCTTTGCCGATCGTGGAGTTAGAGCACGGGTTCGTGAATGCTACTGAAGTGGAGAAGCGAGTTAGAGATTTGATGGAGTCCAAAGAAGGTAACCTGGTTAGGGAGCGAACCATAGCTATGAAACACGCCGCCAAGGCTGCGTTGGGTGAGGGAGGCTCCTCCCGTGTAGCACTAGCGAAACTCGTTGAGTCGTGGCAGCAAGACTGAGTCGTCTGATTCGGTTTTAGTCGGTCCATCGAATAAGCGCTATCGAAAATCGGTCAGAATCTTTCTCTTCGAGCTCTGATATTCCCCGTTTCCTCTTTTTGAGGCACCGAGTAAGCTGCCAATTGCTCTTTTTAAGTGCTTACCAATTTCACTGTTAAGTAAATTTAAAAAATTGAAAGGTACCTTTATAAATAATATTTAATTAAAAAGTATGGATCAAAATTTCTATTAGTAATTTATTTATTATTTTCTCTCAAAAAGGTGAGAAAAGACAAAAGAAAGAAAAATGAATT